ACACACACACACACACACACAGACACACACACACACACACAGACACGCACACATGCACACAGACACACGCAGTAGAAGCATCTCCTATTGAGTCAGTACAGTACAGGTCCGAAACCTGCACACAGTATGTAATAGCATAGGCTTCCCAAGCTGGCCAAGTTTCAGAACGAGGAACTTAAGACAATGTTAATATTCACAAGTTTGGAGTTTCTACAGTTTCACGGACATTCTGATCAAAATACAATAGCAATTTAAAAACCTGGCCTACTCAGTGTTTTTACTATGGACACATTTTTCCGAGTATGGACAGGCTGACAGTCCCTGAGGATGTGGATTTTAGACTTTTGTTTCCAGAAGCAGCATTGCTATGCCTATTAATTGTGTACCTGTAGGATGAGTCTGATTTGTAACATTTACTACTGTTCAGTCAAATGTTTAACTGATATTGTAGCCTCTAGGTGTACAATAACAATAACAAGCATGCAAACTTAACGCTGTGAAGAATTAACAATCAAGGTGTGTACGAGCAGCACTGCCAGCACTCCTTTGCGAAAACACAATTGTTAAATGTGTAGGTGTACGCAAGATATTTTTTGCTTCGGAGGCCAGGAAGTGAGGAAGCCCCCTGTGAGTCACACTTCCTGGAAACCGTTATTTCCTGGATATAAATGCAAGGCGAACCTGACCCCGGAACGCCTCACTTTGAAAGCCAAAGCCAAAGGAGAGAATATTCGTAATGACAGAGAAAAAGTCACATCTACGATTCCCGAAATTCACCATGGAGAAGCCAGCATGTGCGTATCAGCATGAAAGCATGAGAAGACAACACAATGGGACCACTGGACCTGAAGTTTAATTAAAGCTCTTCCTGGGATCTGCCATTGAGCCGGCTTGCTCTGCACGGTTCATCGCTAAAGTATCAAGCAGGGTTGTGGTCCACAGTGAAAGATATGACCCAACCAAGAGATTCCAAATCAGCCCCCTTAAATTACGAGCCCTTTCATCCTGCTTGTTTCCCAGAATTACCCACATGATGGCCCAGTTTGGACAATAGTGCTTCTTGTTATATAAAGCAACGAAATTCATTTAAAAATATCTATCGGTACAATATTTTTTCATTTGTATTCCCTTTTTCCTTCTGTCTTATGTCCTTGTGATGGCATCTTGGGTTATTATAACAGAACCATGTGGAGTGGGACAGCAAAGCCACATTTATTTGGTGAAAGTGTCATTCTTATCAGGGATATTGGGTATCAGCTGGGTAAGGGACACAATTTGCTAGGGCCACAATGAAAAAGACAGACCAATATTAATCACAGAGAGAGAGAGAGCAATAGGTAGAACAAATCATTATGGACAATCTGGTTTTACATGCAAAATGTGGTTCTCCCCTTTTCCCATGATCCTCAGTGTTGTCATATTCGTGTTTTTCTTAATCAAAGTTACACTATTAACATTGGCTACACTTTTCCCCCAGTATAGCACATATTACATTAAAGCCAATTAAGCATTAAGACTCTAAGAGTACAACTTAGCTGGATACATCAGTTTCGTAACTGATTATTTGGCTTTTGCCAACCTTAAAATAAATCCCAAGACAGCAGGAGATGACTGAGTCCCTCTAACAGACAGCTGTATCGTATAATCACCACAGAAGATAGAGGAGATTGAAGGTCGAAAACTTTGAAGGAACCTTATCAAAAGGTGCACTCCAAGGAAAATACAGAGTCCAGATACTGTAGCCGTCCCTGAGGGTGACCTAGCACTGCTATCTTTCCCTAACTGCAAAAACAGTTTACAGTTCAGTTAGAACATTTAAAAATTTAGTTCAACACAACCGTCTGGAAGGTTTCTTCTCTAACAAAATTATCTGCGCATCCGAAAATTACCGACTTTTCCTGGAGCCAAGGTGACTGCCCATGTCAGATACAGTATCTTAGTGCACTTCAAAGTCACATCGCCGAAAACCACACAGGTAGGCAGCGCAGATGAAAACAGATCATTTTTCCAAACACCTACATATGTTGGTTTCCAGGGAGACAGAGGTCCCATGCAGATAACACAACAGAAAAGCCATAGTAACAGCCAGATAATTTAGAAAGGGATTTTTTAAAGGTTATTCTGAAACAAAACTCAAATGTCATCTCTGTACTTGCAACAAATATTTTGTTGATATACACTTTCAATACTGGGTTGGGTCTCCCTTTGCTCTCAAAACAGCCTCAACTCTTTATGGTATGGATTCCACAAGATGTTGGAAACATTCCTTCAAGATTACAGTCGATGCTGACATGCAATTTCTACAGACTTGTCAGCTGCACATTCATACTGCACATCTCTCGTTCTACCACATCCCCAAGGTGTTCTATTGCATTCAGGTCTGGTGCTGGGATGGTCGCTGAAGAACACTGAAATCGGTGTCATGTTCATGAAATCAGTTGACCAGATGACTTTGGCTTCATGACATGACACATTAAGCTGCCGTTGGAAGATGGGTGAATGGTGGTCATGAAGGGATGCACATAGCCAGCAATAATACTCAAATAGTCAGTGGCACTGAAGGGATGATCAATTGATATTAAATATGCCAATATGTGAGCACCTTCCCCACACTATTACATCTCCACCAACAGTCTGGATTGTTGACACAAGGCAGGTTGAGTCTATGGATTCATGCAGTTGTCACCAAATTCTGTGAGCTTCAGCAGAAATTGAGATTCAACACAGCAGGCTATGTTTTTCCTGTCCTCCATTGCCCAGGATTGGTTAGCCTGTGCCCACTGAAGCCTGAGCTTTCTGTTTTAGGCTGATAGGACTGGAACCCGACATGCAGTTGTACACAGTGATTATCTGAGTTACTGTAGCCTTTCAGTGAGTCTGGCTGTTCTCCTCTGACCTCTGTCATCCACAAGGTGTTGTTGTCTGCAGAAATGCCACTAACAGGAT